AATGGCACAACCTTTGTAGGAGCCAAAAGAGCAACGGAGAAAGAATTTATAGACTTTATGAAAGAAATGTCACAAGAAGTCGTTCAGAAATATTCACCTCAAGGGATCAACTGGCAGTTTATTCCTCCCAGTGCCCCTCTTATGGGTGGTTTATGGGAATCCGCGGTTAAAACATTTTAAACACCATCTCAAAAAACCGCTGGAGCCCACAAATTTACCTTCGAGGAGTTTACTACCCTCTTAATGAGAATATAAACCTTTTTAAATTCCAGGCCAATCTCATCCCTCTCCCAAGATCCAACTGATTTCACGGCGCTTACTCCAGGCCACTTTCTACGTGGCACCTCACTCTTATCACTCCCAGAAGTGACCCACCGAGATCTGTCGTTAGTCAACAGGTGGGAAAAGGTGAAGTTCTTGCATCACGAATTCAGTCGCCGTTGGAAGGAAGACTACCTTACAGATCTCCAAAAAAGATATAAGTGGAAAAACACACAACCTGAGCCGATAATGGATAAATGTGTCCTCATAAAAGACGATAATCTACCCCCCCCTGAATGGCGCCTAGGCCGTATAGTGAAACCACATCCCGGCAAAGACGGTCACATTAGGGTAGTCGACGTGCGTACCCAAACCGGCATTCTAACACGACCCATTGTAAAATTGTGTCTCTTACCCGCAAACGACCGCCCCACACCTGTAGAAGATCAGACGCTATAAGAACTTTCCCTCGAATCCCTCTTCCTTGTTGGCTCGACAGCCTTCTCTCGCCAATCTCCAATGTAAGCACACTCCCTTTATGAACGTATGCATAATCCTTATAAAAATATATGTGTATGCCCCAACCCCATATGATCTCCCGTCAATTAGCTTGAATAAAATCGCCTCACTAATTGCCGCCATTCGACCATACATATCCTTACAGATGGAGATGAAAATCGACACCGGCAGTAGTCCGAAACCAGCCCCTAGACCAGCAACCAGACCAGCACCCAGACCTGCACCTCAACCAGCACCTCGCCACACGCGACTGTCGACAACGGTGGCACCGCCTGACCCCGTCGCCGACCCGCCTCCAAAGAAGGACGACTATCAACGATGCCGATTATGTGCTCGGCATCACGCGCTGCGTGCCTGTAGAGTTTTTCGGGCGCTGCAACCTAGGCAGCGATACCTTGTCGCACAAGCGCATGGCTTTTGCACGAATTGCCTTGCATTGTCCCATCAACGCAAGGAGTGTTCGTCAGCCGCAGCCTGTAGAGTGTGTGGACAACTACACCACACACTCCTCCATCGAAGCTCGATTCGCTCCAAACCGCCAAAGCAGCGCCCAGTAGGTAACCATCGCACGGAACCACCAAAGCAACTCCACGGAGGCAGAAAGCGCATGCCACCACCGAAGCAGCGCCGTCCAACCAGTAGTCGCAAGAAGTCACCACAGTCGACCACATAAGCAATTAATGGTAAAACTACCAAATTCTTGGTACAAAACGCGATCCGTACGCTGAAGTGGGTTCAGAGCAGCCTAGCCGCTTAGTGCGCCTAGAGGGGGCAGGATGTCCAAGCGAGGCCGCCGTATTTAGCATTTAGATTTGTAAAAAATGCTTAACTTGTAAAAAACATATAACTTTGTATAACCAAACTGTTTTGAACTCAAATTCATTCAAATGAAATATCGTAAATGAAATATCGTAAATGAAGTATGAAATGTTAATTAGTATCACATGGCAACATCGGTGTCAGCACAATTCAGCACTTTGACATAAGTTTACAGACTCAGCGCTGTAGGTATACGTATGTATGCAGATACATAAAAACATAAAATTTTTCATCATCAAATCAAATTTCGTGCAAGAATCGTGATCTCGCTCGCTTTTGTCCTCCACCGATTGTACCCTATATTCGCTAGTTTTTGTTTCTAAAACGCATTATTGAAATAAACTTTGTATTTTAAATCGAATCGTTTAGCGTGTCGTTTTTTGCAAGGTGCAAAATAATTTCTGCAGTATTTTTATACGCAGAAATAGATTTTCCGTGCAACCAGATTTTCGCGCGTGGAATCTAGTGCTCCGCCGAGTTCATCGCCGACCTTCGGTTAACGAACCATCGCCACAAGCCAATTCCAGCACCGACCGGAATTGCCCAGCTTTACAACTGTGTCCACCGTCTGCACGCAAACACCCACAAACCACCCAGTGGACTAGCTGACCGAAAGTCCAGCATCCGCCTGCCAGCCTACCATTCGTCCAGCCGCTGACGCATCTTCCAGGCACCAGCCAATCCGCCAGCCGCCCAGTCGAAAGACGCTCCATCAGCCGCCCGCAAGCTCATTATCTGTTTGGGTTCGACGACCAGAACGATCACCACCGCTACAGCACCCAATCATTAACCATCCACCCAACTGCTCCTCGAACGAAGCTACAGCCCACACGGCTGTAAAGAGTTTATTCTTTAAATTTTGAATAGAACTTTTTTTGGATTAGCATAAGGTTTGAAAATTGACGATGGCTACATTTGTATTTTGGTTTTAAAAAGATTCCTTTTTTGTAAATCGACTTTGCCCTGTAAATATGTATCTACTAGCTTATACCCGCGGGTTTCACCCCGCGCTTTTATACAAATATGAAAAATAATTTAGTGATGTTAAGTTTTATTTCTGTGCCCATTTCGTTATAGCTCGTTATTTTTTAAGCGAGTTAAGGTATTTAGGCCGTTTAAAACTATGAAATTATAAAATCTCATCTGCTCGCTAGGCATACGAAAGATATCAATCCCTCTAAGTTTACCTTAAAATGGTTCCAGGCATACGACGCGTGAACGTGTAACCTTCTTGGAGGTGCCACGGCGGGTTCTAATATTTCCAACTCAAATTTAGTAACCTGGCCTTGATAAAATACCACTTCTCATTACTGTAGCAAATGTCTCAAGAGAGCTTTAGATTATAAGGCTGAACCCGGCTCTCCCTTTTC